CAGTGCTGTTTGCTCCACAAGCTCTTTTATTTCTGATTTAAAAGTGCATTGGGTAAAAAACTTCAAATAGCCTGAATGGAAATCCTTTTGCTTATCCACCCTGAGAGACACATCAACAGCAACAGCAACACTAGAGACCCTCTATTGATCATTTCCCATCCTTCCAGGGTGCCTCAACATAGACAAGGCAATGACACCTTTGTATTGGGTAGAAGAAGCCATGTTGTCCTAATGGGTGTCTGTTTCCTGGCTCGTAAAAAGTTGTTTCTCATCTGGTGTTGGGAGATGAATTCTTTGAGTACCCTTCACTGCTTCTCACTTATTTCATATTTAAACAAGGATATTGGTGCTTTCTCTAGGGTTGATCCTCATGTATGTGAGGGCAGGAGAGCCCAAAAACTTCCTCCAACCCTGGTTGCATCTTCAGTTATTGATGATTTCTCACGTTAGGTTGTACTTGTCATTGTGGATGGTGATGGGTTAGATGCTCTATTGGTCCTTGTGGACATAAGACCTACTGCATGATTTCATACAAGAGAAGGGATCTGGGTTTAATGATAAAAATCCAAAACTCATATGTTCTTTTCCTGGGCACTGAATTCATGGTTAAAAGCCCTTGAGATGTCACATGAGCAGTATCTTTCTTTGATGAATTGTATTCCTTTTTTTTTTATTATTATTTTTCCAGTTAACTTTCCATAGCTAATTTTAAAAATAGTGTTAGAAATGGAAAATTTCTAGATAAAACTACCTCCTGTGTTAGAGGACTCCTGCTGATTGAGAGCACTGTATTCAGTACCAGAGCACAGGATTTCTGAAACAGGATGGTAAAAGTTGGAAAGTCAGAAGACTAAGTATGTCACTCATCTCCCTGGAACTGCAAATGAATAGGATCCTGGCTCTTGGTTGTTTTTGGGTTGGGGTTTTTTTTTTTTTTGGTTGCTTGGTTGTTTGGGTTTTTTTTTTGTTTTGTTTTGTTTTTGTTTTTGATTTTCTGAATTTCATTAGCTATTGTATTTTTCCTAGTGCTAGATATTTTTTCAGTGTTATGGCAAATGCATCTGTGGTTTAGTCCAGGTCAGATTTGTGTATGCTAGATTTGTATAACCTCATATCTTTTTTGCTGTTTTGAACAAGAGGAGTGCTCCACCAGTACTAACAAGGTGCTGCCTGTCTCAGAGCATCACAGGATGCCAACTTCCAATATGCCACATTTATAAACTAACAATTTTGTGCTTTTTCCATAGCTGCTCTTCAGCCCTAAAATTAGACTCCTGGTGTATGCTCAAGGAAAACCTCACAGCCTTCCTTTAAATCTATCTGAGAGTGAAATTTAAAAAAAAAAAAAAAAAAAAATCTGTGTTACAAGTAGACTGCGGCTTGACAGCTCAGCATGATTATTTTTGCTATTTCATCATCTTGTCACACATTCGCTATGTCCACCCTAATCTGAATTATTTCATGTCACAGGCTTTTGTGGAAAAGTGGGTTTTTTTTTGCCTTCTGTGGTTATTGCACAATGCAGCCCCAACCCACAAGATCCTGAGATGCAGCAATACAAATCCTAACAAGCTGCAAGGAAGGAGAAATAATATTAATCACAAGGCAAACATCTGCCAGGGAAGGTGTAGAAATTTGCCTTGGAGCAAGGAAAGGACTAAGGAGCCTATTGAACTGCCTGTCCTGTTCTATGTGATACAAAGTTAACCTAAAGCTCCCCTGTAAAGCAGGTAAAACTGAGATTTGATCAGACACAGAAAGAAGGAAGTTATCCTTCAAAAAGGAAAATTCTTTGGGGCAGGAGCCAGCACTGCAATCTGGATATTAAACTTGCACTTTCCCTGTGTCCTGGGATTATTACTGAACCTCCACCCTATCCCATAAAAAGTGCATGTTGAAGGGTTTCTTGATTGATTTCCAGTATGCTTCTTCTGAAGACAGATACACAGACCCTCAGCAACTTCACATAACGGTAATTTTAAAAATAACCTTTTCTTCTGTGCACGGTTGGAAGAAAGTAGGGGTGGTAAAAAGCATATTAGGTCTTTTAATTGAACTACCTTTCTTCTTAATTAAAATGTTTTGTATCCTGTGTGAGCCATGTCACTCACAGCACCTGGGTTTTAAGAGTAAAGTACATTTATCTCAATGTCCTTACATAACTGTCAATGTATGCAAGCCTAGTGCAGACAATGGAAATCAATGAGAACATTCCAAACTAATGCCTCCAGTAAGCCTGTAATTGGGATTAAACAAAGATGTTGATGGCTATCAATTAAATTCAGATTATGTAGGTGCAACAATTATTCCTTTGTTAGTCATTTGGCGGTGTCTTGAGATTTACTACGAAACAATCAGATATATTCTCTCAGAAATTTCAGCAATTTCATTGGAAACGAGTGAGCAAGCATCTGCATGATGCTCAGTTGCCTGCTAGGCTTAAACCACTACACTTTCACATTCCTTCATCCACTGTATGATGATCTATGAGGACAGAAAAACTGCAAAAGAACACTGAGGATCAGGGCCTTAGGGCAAGAGCAGAAGATCACCTCCCTCTCTGCAGTGCTACTGGTGGATTCTTCTGAGGTTACATAAGGATGCTCAAGATGCCTTGATCTAGGTATGGGAAAATTTTTTGTCTCCTCCTATTGTCCCCCTGGACTTGATGTATCTTCTGTCATTTACAATCCATGTTTAGAAAAAGCTCAGGACTGCATAAGTCTGACTTTGGCATATATGACCAGAGGACAGGCTCTTTGAGGATAATGGGAGGAACCTCAACAGTCAACAGAGGCCTAACATGTGACTTCTAGATGATAAAATAAGGATGAGAAGAACCTACTCTTAAAGAAGAAGTCTTGGTGCTTCTTTGGTTGCATGGTAAGCCAACCCACCTTGCTAATCTGGCAAAGTTCCTCCAAGTTTCATATTTCCCATGAATAATGCATCATTGGTATCAACACACATTACTCAATAGCTCATTTCCATCAAGTATTAACAATATTGCAATTAACAATGCACCTGGGAAAACATAATCCAGGAGTGCAGCACAGGCTGGGATCTACCTAGCTGGGGACCAGCTCTGTGAAAAGGGACCTGGAGGGCCTGGGGAACAAGCTCAATATGAGTGAACAGTGTGCTGCAGTGGCAAAGAAAGCCCATGGGGTGCTGGGTTGCATCAACAAGGGCAGCACCATCAGAGATAAAGAAGTCATTATCCCACTCTACTCAGGGCTTGTCAGGCCACACCTGGAATACTGTGTACAGTTTTGGTCCCCGCTATACAAAAAAGCTGTGGAGAGGCTGGAGAGGACCCAGAGGAGGCCACAAAGTTGTTCAAGGGACTGGGAAGCCTGCCATGTGAGGAATGGCTAGAGATTTAGGTTTGTTCTGCCTTGAGAAGAGAAGGCTTAGGGGAAACCTTATCACTGTGTTCCAGTATTTAAAGGGTGGCAACAAAGATGGAGACTCCCTTTTTACAAAGAGTCACATGGAAGAGACAAGGGGTAATAGGTACAAGTTACTCCTGGGGACATTCCAATTGGACACGAGAGGAAAATTTTTCACAATGAGAACAATCAGCCACTGAAACAATCTCCCCAGGGAAGTGGTGAGTTCCCCAACATTGGACACTTTTAAGGTTCAGCTGGACAGGGTGCTGGGACATATTCTCTTGACCATGCTTTTGCCAAGAAAGTTTGGACCAGATGATCCTTAACGTCCCTTCCAACCTGGTATTCTATGATTCTATCAATAAAATGTCTCCAAGCCTAAGAAATACTGTCTCTCAAAAATTATTTTCCAGCAACCTTCTATCTTCAACCCTGATTGACACCCAAATAACTTATAAGCTATGGCCCAAAATACTGTTAATTCCATGCTACTCCAAGAAAGCTCTGGGAGGGCTCTGAGCACATCGACTGCCCTGTATGCAACTGCTCAATAATAGTTAACTATTATCTGCAAAGAGAGATAAAAGCCATCTTAATTTTACTAAGAGGAAGTAAGGCAAAATTTAGAACAAGATTGCTCAGGAGAAGTCAGAGTCAAAATAAAAACAGACCCTGTTTGCTGTCAGGCATCTATCTCTGAGCTAATGACTGTAGGACCTCTTTACAGTCAACAAAACAGGCACCTTTCAAGGGTAATTCATCTTCTAATACAGACGTCCAAGCAGGCCAGTCAAATCAGACCCCTGAGCATGTATTTCTCTTTGTTGACTATAAAGGGAGTCAAGGTTGACTGGCTTTAATGTGGGTGACTACGCTGTTCTTGTCAAGCAAATCCTACTCCTGGTTTTATGTCCTGACCACAACATCCTTTCCAGGCATACAGCATATGACAGCCAAACAGGGAGTACTTGTTTGCGAAGTCAGGCATTGCAAAGTTAAAGAATGGCTTAATGAATTTCAAGTGCTCAATCTTTGCTCATTGCTGCTGGTATGGAGGCAACATCATTAAGTCTTTAATTATCTAACGGTGCCATATTTTTACAACACAAAGTCTCCTTATTGGTCTGTTCAAATGAGCAGTGCTACAGGGAAGAAACATGTTTATGTGGTGAATGAGGCTGGTGTTTTCTTCAGGAGTTTGATGGAAGAAGAGAAAAATCTGAGTGTCACCCATACGCTAATGACACCAGAGTTATGAAAGTGTCCCTACCTGTGTGTCTCCCATATGCACACAAAGTAGGAAGGAGACTCAGGAAGGAAAACCCTGGTGCTCCACCTCCAAGGGACTATGGGGGGGGGGGGGGGGGGGGGGGGGGGGTGGAAGCAGCAAGTTTCCTGGCCACTTTCTGGTAACTGTGATTAAAGAGAGGCATTAAAGAAACCACAGCACTTCTGAGTCCCAGACTATGCCTGAAAATGTAAGTGATCTAAGGAAAATGATGTAGACTTTGCAAACAGATACCATGGAAAGACAGATATTCAATCTGTGAACTCCAGCAAGGACTTTTTAATGAATGTACTGAACAGAGATGAAGTCACACTTACCCTGGCTTTATTTCAGGAGGTTTAGGTAAGGGCTTCAGAAAGCCCCTTTTCCCAACTAGCCAATATGTGTCTTCTACTCCTTTACCCTAAAATAAAAACAAAAATCCAGATAAAGTGCAGTTTTCTGACCACCTTCTGCTCAATACGTAACTTCCTCACTGGGTTTCTGAGGGATTCATATATACCCAGAGACAGAGCATGGCTGGAAATCTTGGGCTCTCCTTCACCATGGTTCAGGGATGATCTGAATTTCACTATCCTAAAGAAGAGCCCTTGTTCAAATTGTCATCTACAAATGACCCTCATTGATCTGGGTCATTGAAACTACACAGCTTAACAGAAATGAGAAATTACAGGGTCTCTAATCATTTTATGTGTCAGTACTAACATCATTAATTTAGAGATTTTACAACAGTTGCTGGGCTGAGTATCAGTATAATAACTTCCTCTCCCACCACTGATGATAGAGCTTTTAAGGTGAGATGCATCTGGTGAAATATAGGCATCTGCATCAGAGTCAATCACCTTTGACTGGAGAAGTAGAGGAAAAAAGGCACTTCTAGGGTGACATTCATCTTCATATAAACTGGACACTGAAAGTAAGTCAGGTTAAGAATTTCCTAAAGTGCCAATTTATCTTTAATAACTATGTGAAGGTTTCTTTCCATTGTAATAATTACCTTGGACCTCCACTTGCAGACATATGAACTTGGGTGACATAATTCCACTTCTCATGAAAGATTGTTGAGGGACATGGGGCCATATTCAGACTTCTTTTGGTGTTTAAGGCAAGAAAACATCCTACTTCTTTCTATCGACCAAGTAAGGGAAGAAGTGATGTTTTGAATTATTTAGTGTTGTCTTGTTTGGACACTGTGAAAAGTATCAGTGTCTGTCAAGGGTGGACCAAACAGACATCTAAATAAATAGTTAGATACATCCCATACAATTGATTGTTCCATCCTGTGGTCCTTCAGGAATTACCTCATGTACTGAAACAACTGATGGGGACAATTTGGGAAGGATCTAAAAGAAAGGCGGTGAATAAATGTGAGACAAGAAAATTCCCCTGTGAAGCATTTCACACAGCCATGGCCTTCTTACCTTCAGTTCTGTTTTTCCCCTAGGTACAATTTCATAGCCTTCATTTAGACTTCGAAGTGTATTCACTGTACTTTGGCTGACATGAATTCTGTAAGCTGGGAACAGAAAGCAAAACAGCTGGATCACTATACTGTACACACATTGCAAAATCCCTACTGCTTCATAATGTCAAGGGAAAATGCTCCAAAGCATGCAGGTCTGCAGCTGGTGTAAATGTGTGGTGCTCCTTTACAGAGAGTTTGATGGTGATGGATGGATCTTTCCAGGTAGGGCTATAACAAGCACAGGGTGAGATGAGATCTACAATAAGGACTTCCTGGAGAAGGATACCAAATACACTAAGTATAGAAATACAGCTCTTAAGAAAGGTAGTAAGTGGTTTTTCAGCAACATTATCAGTTGGAATCAAAAATACCATTTTTATCTATTTCCACAGCATAACTAGGGAGCAAGAAAGAAAAAAATAACTAACTGTCCTGCTCCAGACACCTAATGTGATTTGAAAGTTGGGATGAAGAGCAGAGAGATGGAGTTTGCAAGAGGACATAATGAAAATGTGGCTGAGATCAACCTGGGTTTTTCAGTAATTGATTCCATCCAGAGCTACCATTAACAGACTGTGAACAAAAAGGGCAAAGATGGAGATTGGTCTCTTCTCCCAAGTAACAAGCAATAAGACGAAATGAAATGGCCTCAAGTTACACCAGGGGAGGTTTAGATTGAATATTAGGAAAAATTTCTTCACCAGAAGGGTTGTCAAGCATTGGAATAGGCTGCCCAAGGAAGGGGTTGAGTCACCACCCCTGGAGGTATTTAAAAGACATGTAGATGTGGTGTTTAGATACATGGTTTATTGGTGGACTTGACAGTGTTAGGTTAACGGTTGGACTCAATCTTAAAGTTCTTTTCCAACCTAAATGATTCTATGACTCTATGACTCTAATTCCCATCTGTTTTACAGCTGTTGCTGGAACTCACTGAAATTTGTTGTTCTTCTGGTGTGAAGAAGCCAGGTGATGTTTCTGAAACATTTTCCTCAAATTTTAGTTTTCTTTGTTGTTGTTTTTGTTGGGATATTATGTCAAATGTGTCAATCATATTCCCTTCCCCCTTGAAGGATGAGGGATGAACCAATTTGGTTTTTTTTTTTTTCAGAATAATCAGAAAGAAGAATATTATTTCAAACATGCAGAGCAAGACCACACAGCTGTGAGATACATTTCCTGAGACATTAGCCTACAATATTCCTATTACTGTGTATCTATATACATTTCTATTAACGTATAACGATGCTCTTGTATCTGCAGTGCTTCTGCTGTCTCCAGTCTCAGTGGGACCTTGAACTTCCAAGGGTCTAAACCTTGACATTCTTCAAATATCTGTCTTGCCATTAGAAGTCTTCTATCAAAGTATTTCCTCCTTTCCACTGTTTTCCAAATGCAATGCATGACTCTTAAAATAAGCCAGCCACAATCACAAGAAAGGTAATTTTCCTTAATTAATGATTAGCCTAATTGTTAGTCTTAATTAGACTAATCAAGATCACTGGAGCTAGAAATGTGAGGATTGTATGAAATAATGGAAAACTTCCAATGTGGCATATATACCGCAACATATTTCTAGCCTGGCAAGAGCTCAAAATTTTAATATTACATAGCACAAGCTTCATGTAGCTTGTAAACTAGCCATAATGGGTAATTTCTTAGAGCGGTCAAAAATTTCAAAAGGGAGTTCAGAGATCAAGGTTTAAAATGTATGAGATGTTGCCTTTGGAAACTAATTTGAACTGACAGCCTGAACATCAAAAGCAAATTCATAACACAGCCAGGGCTCTGACACTGATGTCCCTAGTTGTCCACTGTGTCATCCACAGTTCAGCCACTATAGTTTGCATATCTGTGACTTAGATAAGGACAACAAACAGCAGATCTGAGTACACATATGACTGAAAAGCACGTATATGTTTCTTCCCCACCAGCTCCTTTTACATGTCTAGAAGTCTCCAGCCATGGGACAATAAGAACCAGCTGAAAGATGATACAGTCTTGTCTGCTGCAGCTATTCACTCTGTGCATGTAGACTGTGCTGTTATAACTGGAAGCCTCAGGTAAACAAAGGCAAGACATTGAGGGAAAAATAGCATGAACATCAACCCACCAAGAAAAATGTCAAGAAAACCCTAAGAGGAAGGAAAGCTTAAGGATTTTGTTAGGACTTGCCAACACTTGTTCATGGAGTTGTTATTGTTGATAAATGAAGCCATCACAAATGATGCCCTTCATGTTGCAGGACATCGTTGGATGTGGTCTGCTTTTCTCTCTGTCCAGCATGTTGGAAGCAGTGCCCTCATATGCTTCAACCCTTGCACTGTACTAGTCATGACAGGTAAGTGCATTCATTTTACTGTGCAAGAACAGGAATTAAGGGTTCTCAGCACTGAAAGCAAGATCCAACCCATGTAGGAGAAATCTAGGGCAAGATTCATGTTGATTTTGGTTGATGGGATCCAAATCAGAGAACTGTAGCTAGAAGGCGGTGTTTTAAAGGCTGATCTACGATGGCAAAGCTGATGCCCTCCCCTTCAGGTTGCTTTGAATTTTGCTGCTTGACTTGCCCTTTTCTTCAGAGCTGATTCAGTTGCAATGCTTATAGCTAAAGACGCTCATTTTGCCATCTCTCTTGAGAAGTTTGTTCAGCCACCCACCCCAGGGACTGTCCCAAATACTCACGCAGGCCTGTGGACTCCATTCGTGATGCTGTGTTCACTGTGTCTCCGAAGAGGCAGTACCGTGGCATGGTAAGCCCCACCACGCCCGCCACGCAAGGCCCTGAAAGATACATCTTCTGTATAACCCAAATGGTACTGCACAAATCAAGGGGCTCACTGACAAACAGATCTCATCTTCTCCTCTGATATTCAAAAACCACTTGGGAACACAGGAGAAGGTTTTTTTAAAGATCTCATTGGCCTTGATGCTTGCTACAAGCAACCAAAAATTAAGCATTGCTCTGGATTGCACATTAGTGTTTTATGCCTGAGAAAGATCTTGTGTGGTAGGACCTCAGTTCACCATCATCTGGGAGAAATTTGTTCAGAGTTCACTGAAGCTCAAGGACTGCTGCAGTCTCATTTTAAAAAGACCTCCTTTTCCATCTGAGAAAATTAAAGTTCAGATCCTGTGACATGCCTTGTGTCCCAGTGAAACAGGATTGAAAATCAGCCTTGGAAGCCTGGGGATGTTGGCAGCACGCTGGACCACCCTGTGTCCCCTCCTTGGAAAGGAAGACATCATTAGCTCGCCTGTCTAGCCAAAAAATGTTTATTTTTCCTCTTTCTCATTCTTTAGATGAGATCCACACCCTTCCAAAGTAACTCACAAAGAACTGGTGCCAAGTTCTCAGGGAGAGGTATATGTGCAGGATTCACATGAGCGTGCACACACACAGATAAAATGTGTGACAGCCAAACAGCACAGACAATTGTCATCTGGGGTACTTGGCTTAGTTAATGTTTGGACTGTGGTATGAAGGATGAAATGTTAAATTTCATTACCCACAATTTAAAATATCAGGCTTGCAAAATCAATGGGGGAAAAAAAAAAAAAAAAAAAAGATAATGCTCTCTGCAATGTAAGGAGGAGTGGAGCTTCCTGCAGAGAAAAGAGATGCCTCTCTGTATTTTCCATTGAAAGCATTTATGTCATATGTCTTTTCAGGCTCTGACTGCCTTTTCAATTTCATCATCCTTCTGGGTTAAGATTTAGCAAAACTGACATCTAGGAAATCTTTTCCCATACAAAGTTACAAGGGATGTGAACACAGTATATCATCAACAGTGTCTGAAATGATGCTATAGATAAGGTTTTTCATAATGTAAAAAGGTGTAGGTTAAAATGTTGGGGTTTTTACATTATGATAATAACAATCATAATCATAATAATAATTTTAGCTTAACTTAAAAGTAATCCGTTACTTGTTTTAGGACAATGTAATTTTACTATGATTCTAGCTTTCTTAGTTACAAAAACTGATTCTTCATATAGTTTTCAGATACATTTTAAGGACAATGAAATTTCATAGGTGAAAGCTGTGGGGAACTTTGCAAGAAGCCCTCTTGCTGTCACCTCTGAAAAGTTGTTGCTGCAGAGTCAAAGTAACAGGATTTTAATATCATTTACAGAGGATGCAGACTGAGAAGTAAGACAGATTTTAACTCCTGCCTGATGAAGCATTGCTTGAAGATTAAAAAAGAAAAGAGAGGAAGAATGACTCATACAAAAAATGTTATAAGGACTTAAACAGCCTGTCTGCATCAAACACAGCATGCAGGGACTGCTGGAGATCAGGAGAACCTGTTTTAATGGTGTTTTTTTTTGTTTTGGGGTTTTTTTTTTTGATTGTTTGTTTGTTTGTTTTGTTTTGTTTTATTTTTTTTTTAAACTGCTAGCGTGTCATGCAACCTTCAATAAGACACTGCTCCTCAGAATCACTTCCAATTTAATTCCCATCCTTTCCCATCCTTACCAGTGCTCACTGATTTGTTTCAAGCTCTTCAGCAGAGGAGCTATATCCACTAGAGGAAGTTTTTTCAGGGTCTAATCTATAGGCACTTCTATAGCACAACTGTAAAGGCACTGTTGATACTACCGGGGCAGGGACCTAACACTTACCTAACTAGTCCTTAATGTGTGTACACTACTGTGACGAATGAATAAAAAAGTGTCTTGTTGGAGACTTTTTAATTCATGCTTCAGTAAGAGCTTTCCCTGAGGAAACACTAGCTCACATAACATCACCTCTCTTCATCTTGTGGTGATGTCATGACAGCGGCACTCAGAAATCTCAGTAAGGATCAAAGCTCCTTCTGTATTAAGTATTGCAAGGACACAAAGAAGTGGTCCTTGTCAAAAAACAGCCTTCACTGAGGAGGACTCAATTCTGTTTTAAAAAGCACAGATATAGGCAGCTGAGCTCCTACTGTAGTCAGTGGATGCCAAGTCAACGCAGCCAACAGAGCCATGAGAGCCTTTTCACTCCTGCACCTGAACAACTCTCCAGGGTCCATTTATGCGTCCACCAGATCTCCACCGACCACAAAATGAGTGCAGGCTCCCTAACACTCCCGGAAACACCTCCACGTGGATGCCTAAATTTAGGTTTCCTACTCAGTCAGAGCAATCATCCAATCATTTCTGCAAAGTTCACAACCTAGGATAGGCAAGGTTTTTAGGGTGAGGTACTATCTTTCTAGAGTACTGCTTTTAAGCCCGTTCTCCTTTTGCAGAAAGTTATTAGTTCAAAATCAACCCTGCAGTGTAAGCATGCCCAAAGGATTTCTCCATGTTGAGAGCATCCAGGAGTTAATTCACTCGTTGACTTCAATGCCTGTGTTTGTTCCCTTGTCTAGACAACTTCAGCAAAGGGCTAACAAAAACTTGAAGTGATAAATCTCCCACAGTAACAAGTTTCAGAGGAAAGCAGATACCCTGTGATGAGAAAGTTATAGCCTAATTGTTTAATTATACACGATTGCTGGTTTGTTTTGAAATGGCTCTTTGCCAGGGCTTGCAGGGCCAGTTAATAAGCCGTGTTGGCTAAGACCCTGCAACAACCATAAGTGGTGCCGCAGAGATTAATAAGCTCAATCAAAGTGTGGGGCTGCCTGCCAGAGAGACTGACTGATAAACAGATACTCTTCAGACTCTGTGGAAAAGCTCGTCTCCTCACCACTGCTCTCCCTGACTGTCCAACTTCAGCCCAGACATGGATGGTGTGGAAACAGCTGAATCAGCTGTGTGTTTCTGGACATGCAGCCAAGAGAGGAGAGCCAAGACTCCATGGCGCATTTAAAGCAGGGGAAAAACTGCAGACCAAACACTGGTCTTCCTGTCCTCTTCACCTTACCCATGCAGTACCACAAGTGGACCATAGGCTTGGGCCAGCAGAAGTTCCTAGAGGTGGAACTCCCTGTTGGTGTTGGAAGGACTTGGGCAGCCCATTCCCAAATGGCACCTGCTGCTTTTTCAGAGAGGGTATCACGAGCTCTTCTTGGCACCAGTTTCCAGAGAGCAGTTGGCCCACAAAACTGGTGGTCATACCTGTTCTCCATCCTTTCCAGGATGTTGAAAGTGTTAGCCAATCCCTCCTCCTCTCCCCAAGCACTTCCTCAATGCTTTCATGATGCTGGTGATTCCCTCTTCATGCTTCTTTCCTCAGGAGAAATGGGGCCGAAGGTTAATCAAACTCTACTGTCAGCCCAGTGGCTCAGAGGGCTGGTTTGCTTTGGAACATGCATTTCTTGCTGCTCCCACAAAAGTATGGTGTTGCCAGATGTGTGCAAAACAAGATCTGGCTTCTGCTTCTTTAGAAAGAAAACACCAATTCCTCCCCCTCTTCCTCTCACACCCTACAAAACAGCTCATAGAAACACCACTTTCCAGATACCCAGAGTTCATAAAAACAAGAAAAAATGCAACTACCCCCCATACACATCGCCTAGAGATAGATTTTTGGCTGAGTGCATGGAAGACGTGTTGCAGAACTGCTGTCAACAGGAAATGGCAGATGTTGCACACTGAATTCCTCTCTTTCCATGCTGAAAATGTGCTGCTGGTGCTCCAGAGACTCCTGCTCTGGGGAAGACAAGCTGGGGCTCTAGTCTCATCTAATTTCTGCCAAAGTATAAAACCCACAGTGTTCGTGCAACCATTCCTTAACACTTTAGACTTCTGTGAAGGGCCAGCTAAGGCTCCTGAACTGCAAAGAAAACAGCAGGGAGATGAGTTTTCAGAGAGAACCCCAAAAGATGTATATGGTCTAGGAGATACAAATTATTGATTTTAGCTCTGTTCAAATCACAGCTCTGTTCTAGGGATATTCTGGGTGAGATACTTCCTTTTCTCTGCTCTTGTTTCCTGATGAGTACAACACAGACCATGATACTGACTTCTGTAAAAGATTTGCATGCTAAAGCTGCAAAAATGTGGGCATTATCAGATAGGCAGAAGGATAAAACCCCCTGTAATACTGGGTTAGACTCCTGGACAATCTTATTAATTGTTTGATTTCCCACAATGGGCAGTGCCTGGTACTTTAGAGGAAGATAGAACAAGTCTGGTGACAAACAGCTTGGAAAAAATTATTAATGAATGACTATGGTATAAATTTATGAAGGTTCATATATCTTCTAAAGATATTGATTCTATGATAACCACAGATGTCTTTTCTCCATTTGAAATCCCAGTCATACTTCCACTTACATGACTGCAGTTTTACTGGGGTTTTTGTTTTGTTTTGAAGTTTAATTACACATTGTATAAAAAAAAATAACCTCCTCTTTTTTTTTTAAACAAACCACTTTTCTGTTAACTTAATAGTTTATGACTTCTACATTAGAGATGAATTACTTACTTTATAATAAAACTTTTCCTTAATAGTTGTATCACATGTTCTTCCAGTTATGTCCTACCTCTAATAAATCTCTCCAAACTTTTCATTCTTACACTCTATAAAAGTTTTCCTGTGCTTTTTCATTTCAGAACAGAGTTACAAAGACATCACTGGATGTCTCCATTTCACACTGGTGAAGATCCTATGGCACATCAAAGAGCCACCCTTACAACAAAACCCTTGTGACTAACGTGTCTGATGTAGTTCCCAACTGTGAGAGAATATGCAATTTCTGCCCCAAATGATACTGAGCCTTTTTCCTCCTTGGGGTTCCTGTTTCCATTTTAATGCCCTTGTTGTTACGGAAGATTTTAAAGCATCTTCTAAGGGTATTTGTTTTGGGGCAGGCAGGGAGAAAGCATTCAAAGCAGGAAATACGATTGCAAAGGATTTCTTTGATGTTCAGGCACAGGCAAGTGCCACTGCCTACCTGTGTGCAGCCCAATTCGTATCCTGAGGGGGATGTCTGGCATGTGTCTCATTTTGAATGTTCCCACTGAGCTGAGGATGTCCAGGGACATGTTGGCTATCTCAGCTGCGTGCTTGTTTCCATTGCGTTTTGGGAGCCCCGAGGCAACCATGTAAGCATCACCAATTGTCTCCACCTAAGCAAATACCATTACATTAAAAAAAAAAAAATAAAAAATTGGAAAAGAGATGTAGTATAAAACTGCAAGACTGTTTGACCCACAGGTAGTTTAATCCTCACGCCCATGTATTCCTTACCTTGTAAACATCATGGTTTCCCAGAACAGCATCAAACAATGTGTAAAGGTCATTCAGAAGGTCAACTACTTCAATGGGTTCACTGAGGGCTGAAATGGTTGTGAAGCCCACAATGTCACTGAAGTAGATGGTGACCTGGTCAAAATACTCTGGCTCCACAGTGCCACCAGTCTTGAGGGCTTCTGCCACTGATCTGAAATAACAACACAAGAAAAGATGACAGGGCACAAATCCTTTTGTAGTATATGCCCAAGAGATTAGATGCTCTTGTCCTACTACATTCAAAAGATATTCCACTAAATAGAAGGTTCTATATGGCTGTAACAAGCACCGATTAAAGTTTCTTACTTTGATTGAAAGGTGCTTGCCAAAATTGGAGGTCAACTCTGTAATCTTTCCCACTTCTGGGGAACACTTTTTGTCCAGTCTAGCTATGTTGTTTGGGTTTTTTACCATCTAAAGTACCAGTACTTACGGGGGAAGCATCTGTGACAGAAGTTTTTCTGTCTTCTGTTTTTCAACCTCTAGCTCTTCGGTCCGCTCCCTGATTAAATCTTCTAAGTTACTCGAATACTGTTCAAGCATCCTGAGCATTGAGTCAATGATATTGGTCTTTTTCCCTTTGTTGATGGTTTTGAACTGGAAAATCAAACTGGAGAGTTATTTCTCCATCTTATTACACCATTGTAGCACTCTAAATTTGGAAAGGAATAAAAGGCAAACACTTATTTTAAAGGTATGGTGCTAAAGACTGGCTTTGTGAGTGGCAAGAGCTCAACAGTAAAGGAAAAAGGCAAACTAGAGGATGAATTTGCAACAATAACTATGGAACCTGCCCAGAAGCATGCTTCTCCTCTATGAACTTTCAGTGAGGGTGTTGTGGTTTGAGCTCAGAGGGCAACTGAGACGCACACAGCCACTGACTCCTCCCTTCTCTCCCAGCAATGAGAAGGGACAAATAAGTCAAGCTTGGGATTCGAGATAGGACTGGGAGGGGAAATCACCCATTATGGTCATGAGCAAAAGGCAGACTCATTAGGGGAAGAAAAAACCATACATTTATTACAGACACTAACAACAGCATTTAACAGAGTAGAAAAGTGAGGAACATTGCCACATCTTGAGAACACCTTCCCCACACCCCTCCCTTCTTCCTGGGCTCAGCTCTGCTCCCAATAGCTCTACTTCCTCCCCTCAGTGGCGGAGGGGCAGGGAATGGGGGGGGAGGGAGGGGGGTAGGGGTGCAGTCAGTGCTGCCGCTTCTTCCATCTTCAGTGGAGGGAGCTTCTGGAACTTCTTCCCTCTGCTGCAGAGTGGTCCCCCTCTCACAGGAGACAGTCCTCCACAAACTTTCTCTGACATGAATCCCTCCCACGGGCAGCAGTGTTTCCTTACACTGCTCTGGCGTGGGATACCAACTTTCTCCAACTGGAGTCCCCCCGACGGCTGCAGCCCTTCCCAAGTTGCTCCAGCATGGGACACCCCCACATGCTGAAATCCTCCCAGCACTGAACTACAACAGTGAGGGCTACATTTTCCCACAGGATCCTCGCCTTCTTCAGGCACAGTCACCTTGATAATCCATGAGAAACACCTCACAGGCCATAAATCAGTGTCTGCTCCACCGTAGATCTTCATGGGTGGCGGGGGGGCTGCCCTGCTGTCTCACCACAGGATACAGGGTGGTCTCTGCTCTGGCACACCTTCCCTCTTTCTTCCTCTGTTCTTCCACTGACCTTGGTGTTCACACAGCTGCCACAACTCTTCCTCAGAAGTCTGACTCCTCTTCACCACGTCCCTTCTTAGATATGTTGTCACAGAGGCACAGTTGAAGGGCTGAGCTTTGGTGCAGTGGTGGAGCTGACTTGGAGCTGGGGGAGCTTCAAGAAGCTTCTCACAGAGGGGCCACCCCTATAGCCTCCTCCCCTGCTACCAAAACCTCCACCACTCACTCAAACCCAGGACAGAGGGTTAAGCGAAACACCACCTTCCTTGAGATGACAACATGTGTATATGAGTTGCTATGGAGTCCAATCATGCTGTAAATTTGCACCCTCATTTATCCCATGACTAACCTTTAAGGTAATTTGCAGCCTTTTGCATTGAGGTGAAAATTTCAGGGCATGAACAACACTTACAACCTGCTTATGCATTACTGGTCTTAAATGCACATTTACATGCTGTCATGTATGTGTACTGCCACCTCCTATCCCCAACTCCTCACTGAGGTGTGCTTTCTCCTCTTGACCTGAAGCTGAGACTCCGGACGATTTAGGCAATCTGTGGCTTCAAAATCTGCCTTAGTATCAATGGTGGAGTCACATGGGTATAAAATTATTCACAGTTTCATAGAACCAAAAGGTAAAAATTACGGATATCAGTTTACTTAGTTTGACCTTATAAGAACATAGGAACAGTTCTGATGGATCAGACAAGGGGTTTATTTTGCCAGTACCTGTCCATAAGACTGTCTGGTAACTGATGTCTGGGTAAGCTGTTCAAATAGGGATCAGGTAGGGTCATATTTCCCTGGGATATGCTCCCAGCCTTCACCGATCTGCAGTTCCTATGTCAAACATTGTATCTTTGCGTTTAACAGCTTTTGGTGAATTTTCCTTTTAAAATAATCAAGCACAAAGGATTGTACCTGCTTCTCTATTCACTGACCTTAAGAAATACCTCCTCAAAGGTTGGACGTCGTTCGGGTGCTTCACCCCAGCATTGCTTCATTACCTGGATGCACTCCAGGGGGGCCAACTCAGGGGCTATGTTTGGGCGGCACAGGGGAGGGGGCTTCTTCACTTTCTTTATAATTTCTGTGACAAAGAGAAGAATGGGAAGAACATTGTGAGATAGAGGGTGTTGGTGAGGGCACAGAACATGGACCTTTTCACCTGTGCCTTGCTTGCTCGTTCAGCCATCACCATTATTCCTTACCACCCAACAGCTGTGTCAAATGAAGCTGAGGGTTTCTGCTTTACTCTGGCAGGAGTCTCTTGGAAGATTTAAACATAAGAGATTCATGTACTTTCTTGTCCCTGGAGAACCAGGTTATGAACAGTAAAGTGGCTGGATGGGGGAAAGTTGTATGGCAGATGGATGTGTGAGCCTGCAGGCTGTATTTAATGAAATTGTCTCTGACTCTCTCCATTAGGATCTGAAGTCTTCTAAGAGAGCATTGGGCTATGGCTGAGCCCAGACAGGAAGGATACCAGCCTCTGATGCTTCATTGTTAACTGGGAACCCATATGTAGGAGGTTTATGGGAATGGAGACAGTGGGAAATATTTTAAAGGAGGGGAGTTTGGGTCCAAAACAATGTCTGGGAAGTAACTCCCTATCTAGAGGTGAAATAAGACTAATAAGGAGCTGGTCTTGGTCTTTCAGACCCTGAGAAGACAGTCCTTGAATCTGTGGGTTTTAGAAAAAACAGCACCACAGTGAAGGAGTGAAGATGCAGATTTTGTTGACAGTTGAAGCACAGATGGGGGAGTCTAATGTCTGAACTGAATCCTGATTCCAATTTAAGTATTTCTTAATAAGAATATCCTTGGGAAAATGTGGAGTTTGTAAGGTAGAACTATAACTTCCTGCTTAAAAAATCCCCAAAATGTTTGTAGTTGGAAGTTTCATTTTGTGTAGTGCAGAGCAGTCAAATGGAGCGAAAACCACCCTCTTTCTGGCAGGAGCTCTGCATTGCCACAGCTGTTAGTGTGAGTGCCCAAAGCTTTTCGGTGCTGACAGTCTACTTCAAAGCTCTTTGGCTCATCCCACTAGTCTCCACCAAATGAACTAAACAAAGCACCTGGCACAAATATTTCCAGGGACAGCCAAGGGGAAATGCCTTCCCCAGACCATTTTAAAGTTCATGCCACAAGTGAAAGCTCCTTGAGGATTAGGATGCAGTGAGTAGAAATTAATCATTTTACCAGGTCAGGAAACTGGAGTGCACTACGTGCAACATTTGCTGGAGGCTTCTCATGGGGACTAGGTGGTGGGGACACCCGCTTATTACATCATAGGCTACATCATAGGTCCCGCTCTGAATTACAGACCAGACTACATCATAATTGTAGTTGTCGTATTGTTGCAGGAGCTTGGGGTGTGGCAAGGTCAGGGCCCCATTTTTCCAGGTGCTGAACAGGCAGATACTGAATGGCCATACCACTTTGTGACTGTACAGCTTAAAACCTACTGAGAATGGGCTTTCACTGAAATCAGGTCTTTTTTGATTGTTTTCATCCCCTTTCCATTCAGGTGCTTGTGACCTTGACTGCAGTGTTTGCTCTACCTGTGCATGGACAACACAGTTAGAACTAATGAGAGTTGCAACATGAACAGTTCCTAGAGAGTTCACCTATTTGTTATTTCTGATACAAGCCACCTTATATATGTCAGCAGGGTCATGATATATCACTTTGATCTCTGATGAAGAGAGAAACTCTTTAAATGGGGAAGTAGTTAAGGAAGAATAGATGGGCAGATGGACAAAACAGGATGCTAGCAAGGGGTCCAGTTCAAAAACCTCAACACCCATGACGTACAAAAAAAGGGCCCATGAGTGGGAAACAAAGGAGTTTCCAAGTTATGGGAGATTCTGCTATCAGATTACAGCCCATATTATGATGAAAAGCCAAAGTTCTGACAGAGAACTGAGGGTGCTTCAGGGTTCTGACTGCTAGCCAGATCTGAAGCATCTTGGACCCAGAGGCCCAACCCCATGGATAGCAGTGATGAGTCATGTACCATGGCTGAGATCAGAACTACACATTTTGCTGTTTATTATGGATGTTTTGTTGAAAACAGTTCTTAATCTCTGGGAAAGGTCATGAGACTGGGACATTATTTCCATACTAATGTTCTACCCAAGAGGCTTGGCCAGATGTTTTTTGAGCGCTCTGTGTAAAGCCTTACAAATGTACTGAAATAGTTACCTACCTTCAGCTGAGAGTTCTGACATGCAGTATGGTGGGCCCCGAACAATCACTTCTTGTAGGATGATTGCAAAGCTGTAAATGTCCCCTTTGAATGTGCCTTTTCTGAGCATGTCCGGGTCCCTCAATAGCTCAGGAGCTGTCCAGAGCAATTCTAAAAAAATCAAGAGTATCATGTTTCTCACACTTGAGCTCAGCTATTGCAAAGTAAGTGCTTAAATGAACATTTCAGTCATTTGAGGAAAGGCTGGAACATACTTCATTGTTTAATGGATCAAGTTTTTTATTTCTTGTGATGTATTAGAAATATTAAACTTCCATCCTGACAAAAAAATTTAATTCTCCAGATTTCACTCTACTCTTTAAAAAAATTTGCTGTAACGACAATTTACATGCTAAAACACCATCCTTGAACACCTATATAAGAAGTCTTCCCACCATTGCCAAAAGCATTAACACCTTTTTTTTTTCCTGAAAACATCACTTAGACAAAATGTTGGCACTGAAGCCCAAAATTCTTGTTACTGTTGTTGTTCTTTTAAAAAGCAACAGTTAATAAAATATATTCTGTAGTTCTTCCTAGATGAAAGTAGTTTCTGTAAACGTAGTTAGTGGCAGTTCAAAGTACAATCAGTCTTTATAATCCAATAGTTCAAGTAATGAAAGACACAGTTGCAAAACACACCCAGTCTCATCAAGAAATTAATCTTCTTCAAACTGGAATATTGTTACCCTGGTAACTGTGCATTCTGAGTAATGGGAATAAAGGATGTTTCAGCTACTGCAATGTATATAACTTTTGTAAGGGAGGAGAAGAAGGTCTTCTGGCAGCTGCCTTATCTGAGACACTGGAAATGTGTAAGAACCAAATCCTGTGACAGAAGAGCTGAAACATTGCATGCTACTTGAAACGAGGTTTCGGGAATAAACTGGGATACCAGAGGAACCCCAAGACAATAGCCAGGTGAAGGAAATCTTGTCAAAGTTTCCAAACATGGTCCCATGAGATGCTGTCTCTAAATGGTGTGAATGTCATGTGGCAGCCTTTGGTGATTGGCATGTAGAGGACCTATTTCAAAGAGACCTTTATCATCTTGTGTTTCAGATGGCTTAGTTTTATAACAAAAAGCTCTTTGTATTTGGGTTAACCTAAAACTTCAAATATAGGGTTGGGGCTGAGGATGTGAAACCATTTCCACCAGTCACAGAAATTCAGGATTGACCAGATTTCAGGGGCACTTAAATCGTTCTCTGACTATGACAAGCTTAAATTCTGCCTCTGCTTACATTAAAATCTTTTTCCTTATCATGACATTCTGCTATTCACTTCACCTTTAGGAAGTCTGCAAAAAGTTTGCTTATCCTTTCCTGTAATAATGCATAGTATACATGTAACTAGATGTCACAAGATTGAGCACATAAATCCTTATGTGGCCACTGGCCTGCAATTGCATTGGAACAAGCATTTGTTAAATCAATGGACAGATATTTTTAAAAAAAATATTTCCTTATGGCACCTACCTTCTGGAGGTGGCTGAATATATGGGCATTTCTGTGCTTCTAAGAGGTCATTATAACCATAGTCAGTGATCTTCAGTACAAACCGACCATCCACAACACAGTTACGAGACTTGAGACGTCCATGGGCAAAATCTCTGTGGTGCAAATACTTAATTCCCTATAAAATACAGAAAAGACTGAGGCTGTGCCTTAAGAATTATATTACCTGTCAGCATTCAAAGACACAGAGCCAAAATGTCACTTTGGATGCCATCAAATACAGCATTGACTCTATGTCAAATGCAGTGGTGTTCAGCCTGAGAAACTGTGGGAAAAGTTCAGAGATGGATTAGGAATAAGAATTGGACTCTCTGCACCCTAAAGGACTGGCAGCTTTAGGAATGGTCAGATGCCTCCCTCTGTAGCCCTAGGACTCATTGCACTCAGAAGTTATACTTTTAGACAAAGTTAGAGGGTGGACACAGGTGGGACCCAATGATTGTGTCAAGAGAAGCCAGTAAGAGCTGGATGCCCCTACCCAGCTCCTTCAAGGAGGGTCAGAAGGTGGATCATGGGCTGTAAGAATGGTTCTGGCAGTCTACCCTCTTCAGGTCACCTGTCCCAGATGGGTAGTTCACCATTAGGGAGTGAGAACACAAGGACATGTTTGGAAGTGTGTGAACACTCTTCTAAAGCGACCGTACACGTAGGCATCCTGTGACAGGGGATGATTATAGTTTGGCTCTATGCTGGATGAATTTCTGATTTATGAAAAGAAAGGACCTTTGGAAAGTACAAATTTGTCACCAAATTAATTGTTCTAGGTGATCAGTTCTAGTGTGATATGTAGCTTTAACCTCTCATCCTGCTGCGTGGATGTAGTCCTATTACCCCAAATAGTGCTTCTCTCAGATGGTAACAAAACAAGAATAAAATATCTCCATTAAAGATCCTGTATATCAATATAATTACATTCACATTGGCTTTCCCTGAATTAGTATAAAAATCCCTGAATCCTGGATGAAATGGCTATGTCAATATAGGAGTTATATGCAGGTCCTGCCTCAGCAGGAGCAATGGATTTACTTTAATTAGATCCATCATGAGTGAGGACTTGAACATCCAATCCAGTTTCATATCTTCGTTTCTCAGCAAGTCCTCCAGGCTTCCTCGGGAGCAATACTCCGTCACTATGGCAAAGATGCCACAGTCAGAGAAAAAGCCCAGGAACAGATTCACATTTTCATGACGCAGATCTTTCATCTGAAACAAGACAGTGAATCACAGTGAGACCAAGTCAGCCAGACATCTGCTCAGCAGCTTCTTTATATCATTAGATGTCCTTATCATTCTAGTACTCCCAGTCTTTCACACAAGGATAAGGAGGAAACAAATAACCTCCTTGTTGCTTATTTTCATCTATTCTACACTTTTTCTAAGCTTTGCTTTTCTTAGTCTATCCATTAAGACAAATAAAGCAAGATAGCAAAAGCAAACTGAACAGATATTTGTTTTTCTTTAGACAAGCTGGATTGGATCTTTCACTAGGACAAAACGGCTTTGCTGGGGTAAATTGAGTTCAGCATGTGGAGTCTTGGTCCAGCTCTGGTCTGATCTGGAAAGCAATACCACGCCTGGAGGATCCAAAGTCATTCATCAATGATGCCTTTGGAGACAAGCCCTGGTAAATTTGTTGTACTTATATGCATAAAAATGCCACTCCTATGTTAGCAGTAGCTGCCAACAGCTAATGGCCTTGAATTTGGAAAATAAATGTGTTTGCTTGTCATTTAGTAATAATAATAAAATTGAAGACTAAAAGTAAACTTCTAACAGACATCTTGGCTGGAGATACAGAGCAAATCCCAGAGAAATGCACAACCATGTCTGTGCCACACTGTCAACAAATAGCACATGAAAATAGCTACTAGTGCGTGATCCTGCCCTGACACAGGCAGGGATGATTTTCTCCAAACTGCTCTGCCTTTGCAGACAAGGTCACTTAGAGGACTCATACATTCAGCATTGCACCAGCTTTGAAGTGGCAGGTCCAGGGTGGGGTTTTGCAAGCTGCTGACTGACACGTGGGTCATTGGTAAGTTTGTCAGATGCAGTCGTGCATGGTCCATTCCACTAGATTTCACTGGGCAAGACTCATTGACAGCCATGGCATGTGATTCAATGGATAAACAGGAGACAAGGAGAATAAAGAGAATAAAAATACCCTGCAAAAGTCCCCCAAGCAACCTTCCCTCCACATGCCCCATCATCCCCTGTTCCTACCTTTCTCAAGATGCTGGTGGAGCTTTGCCGCAGATTGTGAACTGCTCCCGTCTCAATTTTTTTCAGCCACACCCAGTCTCCCTGTCCACAATACAGGTGGGTGAATGATAGAGCAAGTCTCTGAGCAACAGCTAACATTGGGACCTAGGCCTGAATTCCAGATCCTTGACTTTGAAAGTGGTTGGGGATTCTCAATGTTCTTGGCAGTAGATTCTTTCTATCCTGCACCTGAATAAGAATATCCACAGCAAACCCTCAAAAAATGGGGCGAAGCAAGATCTTCACCTGGATCAGAACTTCATACCCAGAAGCTGTATTAGTATCTGATAAACAATAAGTTGATTATAAAAGAAAGTAGTTGTCCAGAGCTTTTCTCTGGCATTAAAGATCCAGATTGTTTTGCTCCTTTTGAGGAAAAATTGCCATCCTATTTTTTCCAGAAGCTGTGTTTTTATGAAAAAACTGATAGATGGGGTGAGTTTTCTTGGCTGTTGCCTCAGCTTAAGCTCCATACAGTCATACTGGCACAAAGGGGAATTTGATAGCCTTTATTCTGTGTGTTTGGACCTTGTCTTGTAAGAAAGGTCCTTATTAGAGATGTCACCATCTAAAGGCTGTCTTGTAAGAAAGGTTCTTTATGGTGCCTTTAGGTGGTGACATCTCTAACAGGGACCAGATCTGGCAATGCTACATATGGGTGTCAAATACCACTACCCCCCCACACAAGACTCCAAGTGTCAGGGTGAGTGTTGGGGTAGAGGAACCTTAAACACTGGTGAGTCCATGCTTGGGCGTAACTTGTTTTTACCATTATGGTTCACCAGCACTATTCCCATCCTGGGACCTACAGTACTGCAGCCCAAGACTTTCTTCACTGGAGCAGCTCAGTGAACAGAAGCAGTGGGAAAACTTTGCACGAGTCCCTACCTACCTCATACAAAGCCACGTTGGAGGTTTCATAGGTGGCAGCTTCACTTTTCAAGGAAAAGGAGCGGGTTACGGATTTCACGCTTCTTCCATCAGCTGCTACGCTGTTTGCATCAGTCAGACTGTCCAAGGTCAGCCTCTGGAAGGCAAGGAAAGATACTAGACAGTTACCACCTTTAGATATAAACCTCCACTCCAGCTCTGCCTCAGGCCATACATTTCACCCCTGCTAGCAGCCTCCCAAACCTCTAAAAAGCTCTTAAGGTTGACCCTGTTTAGTATCTCGAAACACTACAGCGGCACTTTAGGTGATAGAAATACTGTGGCTCGGGGAGGTGTCTCCTCTGACATAGACAAGAAGCCTCTATCTGTGCCAGTCACCTAGGCAAAGGCGTTGCTCCACAGCAGTCTCTATCACTGTCATGGTCCTGGGCATGGCTCTGGTCTGTGTCAACTATGTCAAATAACATTCCCCCAGAAGATCTACAGCCCTGGGCAGGAGCCAGCACATGCCAGGAACAGCTCCCACTAGGTAGTTTGAATGCAGACCCTTTATTTTAGAGGGTAAGATGGTTTAGCTATATGGATGTGAATTATGCTATGCCATCGAACCTCAAGAACAAAGAATAAGCCCTGGCTGTCAGAATAAACGCAACCAAGGGTACTATTTTACATCTTTATAACATCTCTGACACTGCACGTGCACCTCATCCAAGACACAAAACCACTCAGTATGTGGGAAATTTTCTGATATGCAGGGGAAAATGAGAAGTGGAGAAGCAAACAAACGTCCCAAACTTCATGGGTATGAAAATACCATATAGCAAATGTCCGAGTGTCCCACCAGATTACTTTCACAAGTGGAAGGATTTACCTTTTTATGTAGTTCTGGGTTGATGAAGACGAGGTCATCCAAAGTCAGTATTATCTTGTTAGGTCCCCTGAATAGCTGGCTGTTCAAGATATTATGCCTGGGAGATTTGGAAAGTCCCGGTTATAATGTTTAGGTAGATAACCAGTTTATACCACCTCTGAATCCCCCACATCTGACTTCCCTGTAGTATAAGGAAAGTGCAGCATGTGGTGTGGCATCAGGGATGAATGTGGGTGAAAGCAGTAAACTAACATGATGTCCTGACTTGGACTGAAATCCCCTGAATCCAAGAGAAAGGGTTATCCAATTCACAGCCAGGAAAAGCTATAATCCCAACGAGTCTCATCACAGACATCTTGAGTCAATCTGGTTACAAATATGAATTGGATGTGTAGGTAATGCACACTTTGTTTTGCTCGGTTTTATTTTTGATATCCCAAATCATTCTCCATTAAGAGAATAATAGGTTTTATTAGACCAGCCAATATGGCTGATGAGCAAACAGCTCATCACCAGCCTTTCTTAGGGCCTGAAACTGAGCCACAGGTAATTTATAGAGGCTGCCTCGACACAAGTTACCATCAAAATGTGCTGGCTGTATCTCTATATTGTAGCACGATCCATTATGAAGCACTCAGCAAGATACCTCCTTGTAATGACTGCAAACTCGTACAGAGGGAAAAGCTACAGGGGATGAGCAGTTTGGCATGTGTGGCATAGTGGAGTGCAGTGTGGAGGTCTTGGAAGCAATATTGCTGATCTGATGCTGTTCCTCTTGGTCAGGAGTAATTAGATCAAGAAGAAAACTGTGCTGATTCAGATCTACTTCTTCCAGGACCTGAGCCAGATGAGATATCAACCACGCACTGTGTAATACAGGACAAATGTGCTTTTGGCATCTCCACAGGATGCTGCTGCCTGTTTTCCAAGGGATGACCTCCTGTACTCCCTGATAGGCTACCAGATTTGCAGAATTGCCACAGGTGAGAGACAAAATTCAGTATAGTCATCAGGCACACAAAGTCACTATGTATTGCTTGACTTCATCCTGCTGTTTGCCCAGCTTCTCTTGAATTTGCAAGGCAGAAGAGACCACACCAAGAAATGGTGCACTGCCAAGGACTATGTGTTCATGGGATAGTTCAAACAGGCTTACATCTACTTTGTGCAAATCAGTACAAAATATTCCAGAGATTCCTTGCTGGTTTTCAGCTGGGTTGCATGTGACACTAATATCCACCACATGACCATTTTAGGGACTCAGGGAAGAAGCATAAGTAACACCCCATAATTTTGAACCCACAATTTCAATGGATGTCAAGGTCTAACACTGAGCACAAAGCACACTGTATCTACTAGACAGTCAAAAACTCATCAGACAGGAACAGAAAAGGGAGAGGAAAGCTCCCCCATTGACCTCAATGTCACTTGTTTTATTTAAGAATCTTTGTTTACACTACAGCAAATATCTGATCTACACACACCTAAGACTTTTCCTAATGAGGTGGGCAATAAGATAACTTTTGTTAACTGTATTGTAGAAGGAATCCACCTCACAAGATATCCATAGATCACCATGATTCCCATTGAATGTAGTGCTCCAGGCATTTTAGAAGAGCACAAGCAGCATTTTGGAGTTCAGAGGGAGACTTGACCCCACGGCCACCTGGGATGATTTTTTATAACCTTTCTCTAACTGCTTTGTCCTAAGCCACCCAACTCAGCTTCATGCAAAAAACTCATTACTTATGTTCTTTTCACCTTTCTTGGTCAATCATATCCTCTCACCCAAGCATGGAAGAAAACACCCCTCTGCCGAAAGCAAAGCACAGAGAGGGGAGTGATTCATAATTAAGGTCATGCAGCAGATCCCTGTCAGAGCTAAGACCAGAGCTCCCACGTTTGAACTCAGACCATGCTGTGGTTTAAATTTAATTCCAGACATGCCCTTCCCTAACATAAATCATTGTCTGAGTCATGCTAGACTTTTTTTTTCCCCTGCAGATGGCCATACATCTTTAGTCATGACTGAGCCTTCCCAAGCACAGTCTGATACTTGTGGAACAGCTAACAAGTAGAGTCGGCAGAAAGATTGTCTTTTATTTACGTAACTGTAGAGGCTGCTGGCCAAGGAATAGAGCAGGGCTTTAAAGTGAGGGTGGATGGAGTCAACCTCCTCAGTGCCTGCAATTATAAGGTATCAGAAGCAGCTGTGTGTTATAAGCAGGGGAACTGTTTGGGGTGTTGCTTTCTGGGTGGCCTTATATCATCTGAGTTTGGAGGGATGATTCAGGAATGGAGACAAAACATGTTTGGGGATGATTTGAGAGGCAGAGCTGGATGGGAAAATCCAGGAATTGGGCTCTGCTGAACTCATTGCTGGTGAGTAAATATGCCTTCTGATTTCACTCTAATTTCAGTTATGTACCATGTAGACATCAATAATGAGACACAGATTACTCCAGGGGCTAGTCTGGTGCAGATTACTTTAGGTTATGGCATTGTGTCCTTGACAAAGAGAAACCCATAGCTCCTGGACCACCCAGTCCATGCTGCCTCATGTCCACCTTGGACATAAAGTTGGGACACAAGTGTGACCTATGCAATTGTTGGAAACTGTCACTTCCTCATCAGACTCTTTCATTTGCTCCGAAGATCCTATGCCCAGACTAACAAATATGCAACATGAATGACCAGGGAGCTGGACTGCAGTTCAGATCAGCTTGGTAATATTAATTGCTCCAAACCTCCAGAGATATTCTCTTTCTCTTTAGTATACAGAGAAAGTAAAGAGGGTCAGCCTAGGTGCTTCGTAGGAAACATGATTATGTTAGGGACAGAAATCCAGGAAAGAATGATCTGGAATAAGGAAAAAGACATTTACCACTCCAGCCCACTCAGTCTCCACTGTGATGTTCTTAAAGGAGATTCCTGTTATTGGTTTGTACAGCACACTTTGCACTTCCAAAGCGATAGTCACCTTCCTAATGCTTCAGAGCCACCATCCAGCTAATCCTTCCAACAACAGGCTGTGGTATTCTTCCAAATGTGGACTGGATTAAGGGTCAAATGTCTCCTCTTGAGACTGCAGAACCAATGCCTGCAGTGCTCAAGTCACTATCACATAATAAAGTGAAGAGATATGTGGCTGGAGAGCAAAAAGCACTGTCCAACCTGCCATGTCTTCACATGGTCCAAACTGCTGGTTAAAGCACAAGTCTCCCACATGAAGCTAAAAGTGATACCAAATCAAATATATACTACAATTCTCACCTGATGAGAGAGGCCAGGCCTGCAGCACAAAGCACCAGGGCAAATACCAGCATGGCTCCCATAAACATTACTCTAGGCTCAATCCCTGTGCAAAGAGGGGAAAAGAACCAGTGAATTAGAAAACCCCTTTGATTTGGGCAATAATATTAAAAATAACAACATCACATCATTAGAATACAAAGTCAAATATTCAGCCAGGAGAATGCTGAAAGACAATTTTCATGCATTGTTAATTTGTGAATACACAAATACTTACTGACTTTATTTACATGAAACTGCAACTACTTTAATTTTTTATTTCCATGCACTTTTTTCCTATACCAGACCTAAAGCCCTGGATCTGTGGAAAAATAGTTTTTCTTCAAGTAAATAAAGACTGGACTCACAGTGAAGTATTATGGTTTAGAGGCAGCTTCTGCAAAGTTCATAACTTATGAACATTTGACCCTCTTCTCTCCAGGAACTGAAACATTAAAAAAGCTTTATCATGTGGTACCATACTGATGGCCAGTGTGAGTCACCAGCCCATCTGGGATTTTTCATCCTCTGCTACAGATTTCTAATGTTGAAAAGAGCAGAAGAGAAGGAGAAGAAGGTTGATGTTTTCTTCAACAGGCTGATCGACAGAAAGTACTAGAGACAGATACTATGCTCATGCTTGTCTTTGCTAGACAGCTAAGGAAAGCTGACATGAGTGGATGCGCTAAATTCCAGTGGCAACTGTTTGCTGTCTCTGTCTCTTCTGTCTTCTATTATTTTTTCTGTTTTATTTTGTCTGTATTCAGAGATCCTTAAACCCAAACAAGCATGGAGAAATTTGAGTTGATAGAAGGTTCATAACTTTGTGTCACACTTGTACCTAGGTCACAGGTCTTTTTGCAAGCACTGAAACCTAGAACTTCTCAGTGAAAGCTGCAGGCATTTTTGAAAACTGGTGTCCTTTTCAGGAAAAGACAGAGCATTTTAGCTGAAGTATTCCTGCTGGGTTTGGATTTACCTTCTGCTTCAGCCCCAGGCCCTGATCGTCCTCACACATACATTGGAACAGATTTCCCAGAGAAGTTGTAGATTCCCCATTCTTAGAAGTGTTCCAGATGTGGATGTCCCATCGCTGGAAGTGTTCAATGTCAGGTTGGACAGGGCTTTGAGCAACCCGATCTAGTGGGGGGTTGGACTAGATGGGGGTGATTGGACTAGATGACCTTGAAAAGTCCCTTCCAACCCAAACTATTCCATTATTCTAGTGAAAGATGTCCCTGCCTATGGCAGGGAAGTTGGACTTCATGATCTTTGAAGATCCTTTCCAACCCAAACCATTGTGTGATTCTATGATACTATGATTTTATATAGGAAGTTACTGTGCTATCATGCTTGGAACTAGGCCTGCATATCTCCATCTGAGAAGAAGTGCAGGCACAGTAGAGTGGATACTTCACACCCATTTCTCCGCCTCACATATGGTGTGGATGTGGAACACATTTCACTTCACTAGAGTGCAATGGAGATACAGCCAGTTTTTTTCCAGGATGTTCTCTCTCCTGTATTCTCTCTTGAATACAGAAATGAGCAAGACCACACCAAGCTGGCCTGGAGGACATGGTTTGTTCTTCATGCATAGACAAAGTCAGAGTGTTTCAGTCCCCATAAGAGCAGGTGACAGCAACCTAACATTCATCCCTAGCAGGCAAGGGAGCTGCCAAAGATGTCCAGAAGGACTGGTGTGAGAATGAAGTCAGAATACATCCCATAAAGGCCTTGCGCAATGTTAAATACATGGAAAAGGAGGGTCTGGATCAGCTTAGAGGTAGACTTGCAGGATACCTAGTGCTCTGGGGATGTGATTGCCTGCTAGGAAATAGGTTGCTTTTTTTGCTGGACAAAGGAGCAAATGCCTCCTGGACAAATCAGTGATAAAGTGTAGGGGTATGAAAGTCCCATCTCACATCTCTGAATGGCCTTCTAACATTTTCAGACAGAATCTGTAACCCAGACCACAGTGTGGTAGGAATAATGTGGAGTTTGTTAATGCTCTCTTCTGGATTCAATCAGGGTTTTTTTACTGGTGCTGTCTCCTAAGCTTCCTCAGGTAGCCCCCAGAGACTCTGCTGTCTGAACAAATGTCCTTTGAGAAAAAGCCTGAGAAAAATTCTCTTGCTTATTACCATTGCATATTATAATCCACAAGTGCTTGGCCATACTTTAGAGGATTCTAAGGCAATGTGGTACTTGAAAAACTGTGCAGAAAATGAAGGAATAGCAAAGACTCTCTCCCTGATCATGTCCTTTGCTGAAATAAGGGGCACAGTTACACCTTGTGACGTGAAGATTCTTCCACAGCTGGAAAACATCCAAAGTCCATCTGATTTAATTCACTGAAACAGCATCTGGTAAGCTAAGAGTGAGAGCTGGTTGGAGCACAATATTCACTGAGGTGAACAAGAGACAATAAAAGGCCAGGAGAAGTGAAAAATAAACACCCAGATAAACAAACCTAACGGAATAGGAGAAAGTGAAGGCAATACCGAGAGCTTGTGTCAATGATGGATGGGACATTGCAGGGGCCATGCAAAGCCTTGAGGAAGACCAATCAGAACTAAACATAAGTGAAAGCAAGGTTATCATGGGCTCATGGGAAAAGGCAAACTTACAGTGTACTTGAAGGGAATTGTGAGGTTGTGTTAAGCTCATTAGGGGATGTTTTAAGGGGAATGTGGGAGGTTGTGAAACTTCTTATGGGATGTTTAGAGGAAAAGACAAAAATGGGGAAAGGAAGGGATAAGGGTGGGCTGGTGATGCTTAAATAAGAGATACTGGAAACGATGGGGATGGTAGTCACACATAAGTATGCTGTGCAGTTTTCCAACAAAACCTTGCACCTAATCATCTCAATCTGTGCTACCTTTTACTTAAAAACTATTACTGATTTTTTTTTTTCCCTGGGTAAGTGTGCTTTCTGCCTGTGTGTGACATTTGTAGACTTCAACCTAATCAACAGGGAAGATAAGAAGTCCTGGAGCTTGCAACCTCATGAGAGACCACAAGTCTGGAGACCAGCTCCTACAGACACCAAAGGATTTGAGAGCTGGTTATAGAGGAATTACAGGTTTGAACCATCTACCAGAGCATGCATTTGTATGTGTGCAGGAGCTGGGGTTGTAAGATCTGGGTGCAAGCTTGGAGCCTGATTAGGCAGTGCATAAGAACAGGATCAGGCCATTTGTGTTGTCTCTGCCTCAGCAATGCTGGTTGTGGGTTGTGGTGCTTGTAAACACATTTCTCTCCTGTATGTGTTATTCTGTGGTTGACTGGCTGTGTCTGCAGTGTGTGGGTGTGTGAGTATATGTACTGGGAGCACCTTGCTCAGCCCTGCTCCTGGTGGGATTGGGGTCAGGAACCACAGCAGCCTGGCAGCTTCATATCTAACCCCCCTCCAACCCTAACCCCATACAAAAGCCAGACTGTGGCCTGTATTTAATTCTAGTCATAAAATTCAGTCTCTGAAATATTAGAAATAGTAATAAATTACTGCTTTCACTGACAAATGCCTAAAGCTTTATGCTTTCGTAAAGGTGTGAACATTAAATCTGATCTCTCTAAAAATCAGTGGGATTTTTCCATAGACTGTAATGGGATGCTAAATTGCTACACTGTTGCTAGTGGCGGTGTAAAATTAGATATATGCTAGCATTATATTTGTCTCTTCTATAGCTTGCCAGCTGCTGTAAGATCAGTATATCTCCACTGATTTAAATCAGCCATGGCTGAGCCAAGGGGAATGTTTTTCTCAGCTGCTGAATTAAATATTCTGTAGATGTGGTTAATTTTGTCTGTTTAAGTCATATTCTGGAGCAGTAGGAGTAACTGCTTAGTATTATAAGTAAATATGTCAAGTGGAGGCTAAGTATCCTATCCTGAGATTTTGGCTTCCCTGTGGACTTTAAAACTGCACTACAGTTGCCTCAAATTAAAAACAATAAGTAAAACCAGTACCCAGTCTCACAAATCCAAGAAGCAGCACAGATAACTCTGCCCCTAAGTCTTCAATTACCACCTCTGTTGTCTTCTGTAACTGAAATTATTTTGAGTAATGATTATCATCTTTTCTTGATGAGGTGAGCTCTGATGATCCTTAAAGCCGCATAGCTAACTGGGTAAAGAAGGTGGAGTTAACTGGGAGAGATGGTGAGATCACCTGCTATTGTGCAGCTCTCTTAGGATGCCTTCAACGCAAATCCTCTTAGTGCCCTGTCCCTCAGAAGGACAGGGACGCTGTGCTAGGTGGAGCCTCTGGCGTATATTGAATTGCTATCAAAATAGGCAGATGTTGACAGTTAGACCTGGAAAACCCTTTCCAGCACACAACAGCGGCAACAACCTTATTGACCTAACAAGCAATAAGAGAGTCTTGTGGATCAATAGTGGGATCTCTGCATAGCACTCCCATTACAAACAGCATGATGACTGGTCATCTTTATATTAATGTCTTGAGTTTAGATTTTTCTCTTTGAGGAGCTCTAATTTAAACAGGTAGTCATCTGGAGTAAAAGAAAAAAAAAATAAGGAAATAAGAAGCATGAACTCAATGCATTTGACCCTGTTTTTTTGTCTTTCTTACCTCCAGTGCAGAGAACATCTGGATCAAACCAACAGCTGGAGTCTGGCTTGGGTGGAGCTCCACTGGGAAAGTGGATGGTCCGGCCTAGGGATTTCACAGAGTTTGAAGACATGTCCAGCAAGTGGGTTGGGAAGAGCTGGTTCCCCCAACCATCTGTGTCCAGTATCACATAGTTGCTCAGACCCCTTCCACAGTTGTCTGTCTCTATCCAGTGACTAAATCCAGGGAAACTGAAGTTTTTCGTGTTCTCAGCTATGTTAGCTCCTGAGACTCTGGCTCCTTTTCTCCGAGCACTGTCTATAGCCATTGCCATGAAGTAAATGGCATCATAGATTGTTCCAAAGAGTGGAGAAACCTAAAAAAATAGGAGAAATTGAAGTCGGGATATACTGCTGCCAATCTCTAGTTTGAGATTTGTTGCAAAAAAATGTCCCACTGTCTAAGAAGTAAACTCAAGAAATGAGTCACCTGAGCATTCAAGTTCACAGAGTAATGTGTTTGAAGAATCTTAGGTTGAAGGTAGCTCTGAATCAACCCAATATATGTGTGACTTTGAACATCTGTCTTTTCTTGTGGTTACTTCTCAAAATACAATTTCAAAGTATTTTTAAACCATGTGAAATTGCTCTATCACAGGACGAGCCAAGACTTTGAGCCTGATGTTCAGCTGACATTTTATCACAACCTGCCTCAAAGCAATGTGCAAAAACATATTCAACAAACAGAAGACTGAAATTAGAAGCTTGCCTCCCTACCCAGATATGAAGTGTCATGCCCAAAGGATTGGCTCTCTCTGTCACAGGACTGTTTATTCCTAAAATGTAAAAATCACAAAGCAGAGCCACAGCAATCTTATTCTCTGAGGTACCAGAGCCTTTTCTCCTTGCAGTGCTCCCTTCCGTGCCAGACTTGATTTAGGAATCTATAACTTTCCCCTTCCCTAAAAACACACATGGTGGTTTTTGCAATCACATGGTCATTCACAGTTGGTAGGTGAAGAGAGATTATAGGCATACACTTGTGATAAAATGAGGAGTGCTGTTGGGAGTCATAGAATTTGTCATCTGTGCTGGGATTCATTGATCAGATGTAGACACCTACAATGAAGAACCCTACACAATATAGTTAACCTGGGCTCTCATTATAGTGAAGGGAAAGAAAGGAATGCTTTCAAGGCATGATTCATTTCCTCCTAAAGCAGACATCCATGCAGATCTGATAAATCATGCCTTAAAAGTACTTGTAATTTTTCAAAATATCATAGTGAGACTTGAAGATGAGCTCAGCTGAATCTTACATCTCTTCAACAGTATGACAGATCCCCCAATTCTTCTTGTCATGCCTACAAGTTAGCAACTGACTTGTTGTTTTTACAGGCTACTGGTGACATGTAGATAACTTTTTCTGGCAAAGAATAACTTTGTCTATAACGTTAAAGGAGAAATGATCCTAAGTATTTCCCTCCAGAAGCATCTAGTATTTCATTTGTCTGTCACATTCCCCCAAATTCTCAGGCATGTGGACATCTTATTTTGGTCCCTTACAAACTCCATGGACTTTATCCATCTTAGGAGACACCTCTTCAACTTGGGCCTACTGAAGTTAGCACATAGAAAACAGCAATCAGAATCTGAGACCCTCAGAGACAACCCCTTTATCTTGAATTCCCAGCATAGTCTTGCAGCAGAACCAACTCAGTTAGATTGCCAGACATCCAGGAGAAATATTCTTTCCAAACAAATGCAGACCATATCCAATTTTCGCCATATTTTTCTCAAAATAAAAGCATACAGTGTGGGTTGTCTTTCCCCTGTACTTTACAACCTCTGTTTGTCCCATTTCTCCTGTTGCCAAGTCCCAGAAAAGCTGGAGAGAAAGAATATTTACCTCGGTGACATCCAAATTCCCAGTTATTTCACCACTTTCTTTAGCTTCTCTGAATGCATCATAGAAAGTCCTTTCTCCAGACTCCAGTGTGATAGTCAGTACAGCATCATAGGCTTCCTGGAGCTTGCTGTCATTATCAAAGACATTGAATGGGTTGTTATGGTAAGGAAGGCTGTACAGTAAAGTGTCATATGGAACAAAGACGTATCTTCCATCTGCAAGTCCCATTTCCAGAGCTTTTGTGAGTAAGGTGGCCTGTTCCTTCCCTCCAATGAGCACAGAATGCATGCACAGGAGTATAACTAAAACATAAGGATAGCAGACAGTGTTGTTAATCCATCTGGGGTTTTCAACACAAAATAGCTCCCTCCCTGCCCAAAAATGGTCTGTCTGAACTGCTGTATCAAGTCAGATTCTAATGGTCCTTCACCAGTGTTATGTGCTGAAGAAGTTAGGAGCTACACAAATTTTGTTCAACCTCTGGAGGTCTGCAACATCTAGCAAAGGAGGCTGTGAGCATTACTCATTCCTGGATCCATACAGAAGGAGAAGTGGAGAGAAATTTTGGCAAAAGTGAGGCACGGGATAACATGATGGGTAGTCATGGCCATTGTTGCTATTGACTGAGGGACATGAGATTTCCCTTTTTGTGCCTTAAGCACAGTCATTTGCAGTGCCCCTGCTCCACCCATTCACCCTGTCACCATATATACAGATTTTAGGTTGGGCACTGTGTTGTGTTTCAACATCTGGTCCATGCTGGACCATCCAAGAGTCTGTCTTTGTATGCAAAATGTCATGGGGCCAGTGTCCCCATGGCTGTTGGGGAGATCTGAAATACATGTGTATCTGTTTAACAGGCTTTCTGTGGTGCTCACTGGCCCTTCATGAAAGGAAGCACTCCTGATCTTTCATCCAAGACAACATTTCAAAACTCTAGTCAGTGAGAGGAGCAAATTAAGGCAATGATGGGAAAGAAGGTTGCAAATGAGACCTGCCTGCTACTAAACCAGGAGGGAGCAGGATCTCTAGAGTAACTGTGGTGTCTCCTTAGGAGAAAAAGTATCCCCTGGCAAAGTAGAAGCTGAAAAAAACAAGAGTATTTTCAGGTTGCTGAATTACAGGAAAAAAATGGGTACTTCCAGGTAGTGATTCATCCCATACTATAGCAGGGAACTTAAGATAGTCAGATGAATCATGTTTGAAGAGGGACTGGTTCTCTCCATTGATTATGAAAGGAGCCCATCATCTATAACTCACATGGAGAGCTGTGATGGTGATGAGATGAAACCACCCAAGGTGGATTTGGTCTCAAGCATAGTTGTGAGTACTGATAAAACTCCAGATTAGACAGCATCTTGTTGGTCTTTGGCATAAAAGTCAAAGTCTTAGCTAAAATGCATCCTCATCTGGATTCACAGTGCTGACTGCAGACATGCACATCCAGGATCAGAGCTCCATCACAGACTTCCTAACAAGGCTCTGAACCAGAAAAACATGACTTTTTCCCCCACATTTTCTCAATAGAAAAAGGTAATTCTTTACTACATGCTGTACATCAACAAAGGCCCTTCCACTGCTTTAATATGAGGTATATAACACTGGATTTCACTTCTGACACCTTCACTGAACACAAGTAGCAAGGACACAGCATCAAAGCATGAGATTTTTGATAATCCATAATCCAAAACACCATAAATATAAAGCTTTCCTATAAACTCCTCATTACGCTTGACTGAGCAAAGCACAGACACTTGTCTATTAAATATTATTTTTTCAGACAAGCTGGACCAAATCTTTCATGTTGTAGAAGACTATTTTGCCCTATTTTTTGCCTTATTTTTATCACATACAAAATGCCCAGCATTCTTTTACATGAATCACTGGCTCTATTAGGGTCAGAAATAAAATTCTGCTTGACTTACATGACTTCAGAATTTCATTCGTTAAGGTATGCCTATTGGATAACAATGAAGTCATACCCTGGAGAAAATAAAATAAAATAAAATTAAAAAAGGAATGAGACTCAAAGTACTTACTTCTAATGCCATCAACTTCTTTAATCTCATTCCAGGTGTCTTCAATGCCTTTCTCTCCTTTACGTATGGATGTAACAATGCCAACAGGAAGCCCCTGGTTCCTGAGTGCACTTGCTAACTTGTTGGCTGTGTCCATCCAAATATCCTCACTGGAAGCAATGATGCCAATGTGAGCCCAGTTAAAAGTATTCATTATTGTAAACAAAACTCGGGTTGGAGAGGGCAGGGTCCTTGCAAATGTAGGGTGGTGGATGGTGGAATCCAGTTTATAGTTGATGCACATCCATGAGAAGATGGCTTTATTCCAGTTTTCCCCTAAAAGTGTAGCCACCTCACAGAAGCCAGGGTTCAGAGGGCCTATGAAAGCTGAGGAAAACTTTCCAAAGTCAATGAACCTAACCAAAGCTCTTGATGTCTCACATTCTTCCTGCAGGACCACATAATCCAGCCTGTGGCCAAGATCTAGTGAAGGATCCTTGTTTATTCGTCCCACTGCTAACCTGGCAGCCAGATGGGGAAAGGCTTTGGAAAAGAAAGGGTCACAGTTCCAGGGTCCAAGCAGTCCAATTTTAAAAACAGAACAATGTGCTGGAGAACACAGTAGGATTATTCCCAACAAGAGCAACCAGGAAGCCTGGAAAAATGTCTTGAATGAATTTCCAGTGTTGAACTGATGCAATCTAATGTGCCTCGACAGCACCCAGAACAAGCTGTTAGGACACAGTAGGAGAAATGACATTGTTTTACAGGTGGGTAGATCTGCACTGAGTTATTCGGGAAGACGGGCAGTGCATTACCAGCAGCTGAAAGAAAAGTAGATTACATTTGCCTTCCTGTATTTGTTCAATGCATGTAGAAGCAGCTGAGTCAGCCCAAATTACACAACAGTTCTCAAGGTGCGTGTCTGTGAGGTGCCAAAACCCTGCACAGACACGTGGACATGCACCACACAAGCCACTGCACCATGCAGACAAGCATCCAACCAGTGTCAGTTAGATGTGCCATAGCCCCTAAATGCACACTTATAAGAACATTTTTAAATGCTTTGCAATATATTCTGAAATCAGGCAGTGAAGAACAAGTCTGGTTTTGCAGAAGTAAACACAACCTATGGATACACTATGGTTTTGGTTCCTCAGAAGGATAATTCCCAAATTGCACAGACAAACATGCATATAAGAAAATAAAAAGATGAAACGCACTAAGCCAGCAACTTTTGCCAATCCAAAATCCTCAGTGAGTTTTGAATATGTATCAGAGCTCATACAAACATAAATATATTCACACATGCACACACATATATAGATGCATATATACATATACTTAGAGATACATACGTATGTGCACATGATTTTAAAATTTTCTGAAAAGGTTTTGTAAGGACAACTCATAGTAGAGTCTCTTAACCCTGGTAAAATGAAAGGTGGATAAGCAGGTAATGACAGAATGAAGGAAAAGGAGGATTATGATTTGAATTTAGATAAAGAACTGTTAAATAACTGCCATGGCTAAAGCTTTGTGTTCACTCTTGGCTTAAAATATTCTTGGTTAAAGACTAAGAGCCATAGATTTTTGGGGAATAACAACCTTACCATTCACAGCCAGGTTCAGAAATCACAAACCCACAACAGTCTCCCCACCATCCTCAGTGTCACCCTGTGGCTTAGAAAATTTGCTGATCCAAGCAGTTTTGTGCTCTAAAAATAGCAGGCCCCTTACATCAGCTTACCTGTTCATTACTGGAGAATTATTTTTATCCTGGATCCTCAGCCACCGAGACATGTAATACAAAGCACCGCAATGCAGCGTGTCCTGTAAATGCCCCCTCAGGCCCTCGAGCCTGATGGAGAGGGACCTCCAGAAGGAGCTACCCACCAGCAGAGCAGCTTCTCACCGGTGGCAGTGGCTATCCTTGGACGTGGGTCCCACCTCAAGGATAAACGATGCATGGTCAGCCTCCCCTGCAAGCGTGCTTTGGTGCCCACCTCCTTCAACTTCTTGCTTGCATGGGCCACTCCAACTGTGTGGGTTCTCTGGGACCCTCTACTCCTTATCAAAAGCTTCCTGTGTCCCTTTTGATGAGGGCCATTCTTCTCCAGGTTTTCATGACGTGGGGTACATCCTCCCAAGCCCTTCGCTCCTCGATGAAGGTCTTGTGGAGTTCCAAGGCTGCCTCAATCTGAACTGCCTCAGTGCAGAGATGTACTCATATCTAATTTAGCAATTGTAGGGATGGCATCTTAAAGCTCTGCCCTTGGATTAGTGGGATTTAGCTCCTGGGATCTGCCCAGAAGAACAGCTCCTTAAGTCTCTCTGCACCACAGCAGGGATAGCTCCTCTTCTGCCCTGTAAGCAACAGAGACAAAAGCTATTTTTGGTTTGGGGTAAGCAGGATATTTGATTTCAGGCTTTACCATCCTGCTTATGTGTTACATTCCCTTCTTCCCCATTTCCTCCTTGTACCCATCATGACACACAGAGAGATTCTTACACTTGCATCAAAGTCTTCTTCATTATTTCGCTGGGTCCTCAAGATATCACCCTACTGCTGAGCCCTCCAGTAACCCTCTCCACACTCCCAGACACCTTCCTTCCTCAGTGGACCTGGCAATAAAATAGTCATCCTGGAAAGACCTCAAATATGTCCACACTTGTCCTAGCTAGGAAGCCCCTTGCAATAATTCAGATGAGGTCACGGAACCAGTACTTGTGGTCTAGAGGCAATAATTTGTAATTCAGCCTTTTAGTGGTATTAATTTTAAATACATCATATAAATCATACACATCTCATTGGTGTGTGTTCAGGATCAGTTCTTCATGAATAATGATTGAGGGAAGCCACAAAGTCTTTGAGTGGGGAGAGAAGCTCGCTCTATTCATTTAAATAATTTCCTCCCATTCATTCATTTCCTTGTACGGCCCAGATCCAGGAAGGTGACTGGACACATGCTTCATTGAAAACTGGCACAGCTCAAGATAGTTATCAGGAATTACCGAAGAGTTTCACATTTGGAAAGTGCCTAAAAGACAAGCCTAAACTCAGAACACTGCTTTGTACGCTACTAGTGGCTTAGGTTTTGACACTAGATTTTAATCAAAGCATGAAATTAAATAAAGTTTTTGCAGCTAGGAGTCTGATTTTTTTGAACTGAACTTAAGTTTGATTTATCCATATACAAATATACCTATATCTCTCTCCATATATCATATGTTCACTGCTATCTCATTTCCTTTGGTATCGACAACAGTGCTGCACAGTTTAATTACACTCAAGGTCTGCACTCTCAAAGTCTCTTGGAGTATCTGCAAAACTGCGGTGACTCACTTCTAGGGGATGTTTATAGCATTAAAATCTCCTGTGTTGAAAAAAATGAGAATCAGGCACCCAACAATAAAAGATTAAAAAATAATCAACTTGGACGTCTATTTATTAATGTAATTACTCTGACCCTTAACAATTAATATTTTCCATAGCCAAGTGGGTTGAAACATTTATGACTTTCTTTCTTTTCTCCTCCTTCTTTCTTGCCAGTGAAAGAAAAGACCCTCCTGCAATCAAGCGATAACAGTGGCAGGAATCCACCCTCCATAGGAAAAGTTGGTTATCCCAAATAGCTCTGCCACATCTGTCCCATGCTTAGGGTATCCAGGACTGAGGATAACACTCCTACTTTGCTAAAACAAGCTCAGGTCCTGGCACTGCCTGATTTGCTCCACTAATAAGGTAAATCAAGCCTCTGAGGGAAAAAAAGATAATTCATCTGGCTGGAATTAAGATTAAAGTTTAAAACCTTGCATATGCCTCCAAACCTTGCTTTTTTCTCACATTCTAAGCTCATCATTACTGCAACAACCACATCACAGAGCAAAGATTTCTTTGTAAAGCTGTGTTCTTTGCACACCATCAGATCAATTACCAACACTCTTCCGTACTCAGTGAAGTGAGTGAGAGATGCATGCGTTTATACAGACATGCCATTTCCCATGGGAAGGTTAAGCCACAGCTGTATTGCTTTGCTTTAAATTTTTAGAGCAGAAGAGGGTGCTCTAATCTCTCGGTCTGACCTCCCACATCAGCTACCCAGGAACTGATGTTTATCTGAGCTCTCCAAGCATCCTAGAAATAAAATGCGTTTTGTAATGAATTATACCAGAGGGTACTGCTGAATAAAGCTGATTTCTCTGGAAAACCTCTGCAGCCAGCAGAGAGAGACAGGGAAAAGGCTTGGCTCCTGTTCTGACTCTCCCTGCAGAAAAGTCTTGTATCTCCACTGATTATAGAGAAAATCGAGGGAGAGCAGCATGGCAATGCTTGCGTTAGCCTTTCTTCACATCCTCTGAACCTTAATTAGAAGTTCCAGACTTGGAGGATCTACCAGGTTCCCATGTCTATTATTCCAACTGTTAATTACCCTCAACATTAAAAATACCCGCTTAAGATCTAGTGTGTCTGGCTTCAGCTTCCTGTAATCGGCTCTCACTCCATCTTTGCCTGAGAAACAAAAAACCAGGAAGCACAATAAATATCACCTCCCTGTACACATTTACACACCATAATTAGCTCACATCATAGTCATCCTCTGAGTAAAATAAATAAACAGCTTCTTAAGGCTTTTGCCATAGAGCATAATTTCAGGATTTCATCCTGTAACACTCTTGACATTAATTTTTAATTTTCCTTTTGTTTGCTAAATTAAAAACAGTATCCATTAGTGAGCCTCACTCCTTAATGCTGAATAGAGAGGTGATGGCATCTTTTATTAACTATTTGATTTTTATCCACTTTCATTCTACAACTTAGATGAACACAGTTGCAGCATCACTGTTTTCAAGACCATCTCTGCTTCCCCTAATGAAAACCTCTGCCTTGGAAGTGTGGTATGAATTCTTCGTTCCCAGATGTATACAAACCCATCTGATTTTAGTTTAGTGAATACTTTTCAAATATGTCCATTTAATGAGAGGTCTAGACTAATCTGCAAGTTTTATGAATAATGATTTTTCTGTTTCTTCCAGATAATGTGATACAGTTATTGAACAACAGTGGAAAAAAAAGAGATCCCAGAGGCTCCACTAGAAAACACTACCAAAGGAGGCATCCTCATTATTTCAAAATATCAATTAATCATGATTTATTTCCTTATGACACAGACACACTGGCTATGTAGCACTAATTTTCTCCCTCAATATCACCTTTCAGTAGGATGATAACCTGTGCATGTTTAAGAAGATTACACCACTACTAAAATTTGCATGCTAGACTTGTGACTTGATCACAAAAATTACATAAAGTCAGACTGACAAGATTTATTATCACTTCAGCCTCACTGTCTGGCATTAGTTAACCTCCATCCTTTAATTCTTTACAAGTTCATCTCCATTTTGTCCTTTCCATGTCTTTGAATACACTTGATGTCAACCCAGTCTCACCTCAGTTTCTTGGCCATGCAGCACAGGAAGGGTTTGTTGTCCCATGGTTTTGGTGGTGCTGGGTTTTTCTGGGAAGGAGTGTCCTGCTGTGCCATATTATCCTGTTTTCAAGTTGCAGTCCAACATATGGAATCCTTTTTTCTCCAGATTACCTGGTTTGCATCAGAGCACCTATACGTCAGCCTTGAAGGGTCCTGTAGAGTCAAGTTCAAGTGAGTCCACTCATTTCTCCAAATGGATAGATTTATTTGATTTTCTTGGAAGCCAATTTTGTAGCCTGTGAGATCTGAAGTCTCTGGCACTGGTATTAATGGAATATTTGACGTTGCAGGTAATTTGGGTAGTCAATATTAGAACTGGCAGGAAACAGTCTCGTAATACCAGATGAGGTATTTATACGTGTATTTATTTAGGCATCAAAACCTGAGTATTTAATTTGACATCCTTGTCTCCAGAAGCTCAAAGCTCATTATATAGCAATACATAGAGAAACATTTCTCTTCCAGGGGACATTTCCAAACCTCTTAGAATCCAGCTGTGATTCAACCTAAGAAGTAGCTACTGTTCGTAATTTTCTTTTCATGAGGCTAAGCAAGGCTGGACTTTTAATAAGCAAGTTAAAGTCAGGTACTGGAGGAGATGGAGTGTCTCCTGCGGTGTTAACTGAAAAAGCACTTGCCCAACGTGTCTAAAATGTTTTTCTTGGAATAAATCAGGTCCAACAACATTTCAGACATGTCTGAATCTATGTCTGGAGACCTTAGAAATTGCCAGGTGTCTTATCTGGGAAGAAAGATGTTGAGAAGGTCTGTCTCATGGGCAAGGAAGATGAAAACAGATGAGTGTTTGATATATGCTTTGCAAGCCTGGCCTGCAAGGAGAAGCCTGGAAATCAGCTACAGCAAGTCAGAGACAATGACGATTTCATTGATGACCTTAAAAGAAAACCTAAGGGAACACCAAACCCACCCAGGACTTGTAGAGTCCAGAAATCTTGCAGTTCCTGTGATATATAAAAAAAAAAATCATTTCATCACAGTGTGGCCAAAAAAAAAAAAAAAAAAGAAAAAAAAATCACGCGAACTCTTCTGGCAGACAAAGAATGATGGGTTTTGGCCAACCCTGTTCACAGTGAATGGTAACAAGGCTTACAAATGCATCAACAGGCTCTTGAATGGCTGGTTGATGTTTTGCATGATGACTTACCCTATGTTATGTTGCAAACCTTCCCGCAGCACCATAACATCACTGGGGCATTCATCAGATCCTGACAGATCTGATAAATGACATTGCTCCCTAAAATGAAGCTTGAACATGACACTGAAGTTGCGTTTCCTTTATACCAATGCTTTACAAACCCCCTGGAGGAAATAATCCCAGAATATATTCTATCCCAATAGGTCTCTCCTAGCCTCTGACATCCTTGGCAGGTTGAATAAAACAGTCAGTTTTACAACCTTATCTAAACATCTGATGTTTCAAATGTTTGCTGAAGAAGCATTAACTTGGATAATGAACTACAGTGGGCCATACAGTACTGGTCTTATACCTTCCTCCAGCTCTCACCTTCCCTATCACAATGTACCTTTGTCCCCTGTTATAAGGCCACCCACACATCTAGCCAATATTTGGTGGTAGAACAGCATCATTAGCATCATTTAAAGGTTTAGAAACTAAGGACATACAAAGTTCAGCTATCTAGCCTAGGCTAGGCTGCATAGAAAATGTGTGTACTACACCCAAAGCTTTATCTTTAGTGTGGGGTGAAACAAGGCCCAAGAGGTATGTTCCCTCTGTTT